AAAATAATAAATACAAATATTTATATATATTTATATACTCACATTATAAGTAGATGATTTTTAATAATATAAAACTACATTTTTTTAAATATTTTTAAAAAGTATTCACTTAATTGAACAATCTGAATTATTTTGTAAATTCTGTAAGAAGCATTTTGTTTTTCAAAAAGATAAACTCCATTAAAATATAGTCAATTCGATGTTTCTCAGAACTACTGAAATCAACTTACTATATGTTGCGTAAAAACTTGTGTAAAAATTTTATTACAGGCATTGTAAGTAATATTTGTTTAAAGTGAAATATATTATTCGGAAAAAATTATTTTACAACCTTCTATAGTCGTCTACATCCTCCTTTACTTTTCATCATGACAAACATATGGCATTTCAATTAGTAATTTCCCTAAATAATCAATCTTGAAATGCTGCTCACGAACATTATTTATAATGTTCTGCACACTTTCTGTTCACAGGACAACCTATTTAGTATCGAAATCATCCAACAACTTATTCACCTGACATTCTGAAAGTTTCTGTGAGAGTCTAATTAACACATTGAGGACTAGCATTCTTCAATCGATTTTCACGTTTGACTATAGAAACAAATTTTTATAGATCTTTACAAATAATACTCAAACTTAAAAATATGAAAATAGTACTTATGAATTCAAATAAAATATTAACCTAAATTTTGTGCTGAATTTTTTTTATTTCATTTTCTTTTTAATTCCTTACTATCTTATTGCTAATATTATATTCCAAATAACTAATTTTTGGTCATGTAGTATTCGCTCACATGCAAACAAATACGTATGGCCTTAATTAAAATATTAACCTAAATTTTACGCTAAATGTTTATTTTATTTTATTTTGTTTCCCATTTCATTTTCTTTTTAATTCATTAATACCTTTTTATTAATATTATACTTAAATATCTAATTTCTGTTTATGTTACATGAAGATGTAAATTCAAGTTTCCCGCCTCAAAGACCTTAAATCATGAAACATTTAGTTAGCATACTCCATGTTTTATAGTAATAAGATTTATTTCACCGTTTCAATCTACGGCAAATTCTAAACTACCTAAATTTTAAACTATATAATTATATAATTATAAACTATATAATTTTTAATAATTATATAGTTTATAATTGATAATTAATTTTTATAGTTAATAATTAATTTTTAATAATTATATAGTTATATAATGTATAATAATAATTTTCATTTTTCGCGGTTTTTATAAATAAGATTAACAATAATATACAGTGAATATATTAATAAAATATACACATCGTACAATATAACCTATAATTTAAAATTTGCGATTAATAATATCAATATATCAGCATACAGATGTTAGTAATATAGAAGTATAAACAATAGAAAATTGGTGATATAAAAAAATATAGGCAATAGAAAATTACTGATTCCAAAATATAGATAATAGAAAATTATGGCAAAAATTTACAAGAAATGAATTTTTCTCTTATTTCATATTACATCCATTTACTTTCTAAAATTCCCCAACTACTTTCGCAAAGTAACGAAAAATAAAGTAATTAAATTGAATTTGTAGTTGTGCTAAATATAGTTTTTTAATTTTCCCAAACTCTAAATTTCCGAAACATGTATATAAATTTATATCAGTGTGCAAAATTTATGATATTAAGTACTTACTATATACTTCATGTTATATTAATATATATATATCATATATGATATATACATGGTATTATATATGTTATATACATTAATGTAGCATATGGCATAATATATGTATGGTACATGTGCTATATATAATAGTATATTTATAATAAAAAGACATGATAGTGTACGAGTATAGTTGTTATACGCGTTGCTATTGCAAAACGATTAGGATGACCATTAGGTTGAAATGGCAATAACAGGAAGGATGCACAAGAAACAGAGAAAGGAGGATGTGTGATGGGAAATTAGAGGTAAGATGAGTCTGTGGTAATTTCGAGAAGTGTATAAATTGTTAAGTGTATTAAAATCGTGTATACTGTGAAATAGACTGTGTTTGATGAAAGTAGGAGAAAGAAACTCGAATCTAGAAAATAGTCTGTGCAAGGCATTGATACAGAAAATAATTTCGTAAAGTATTATTCGGAAAATAAGCTTGAAATTCCTTTCATTAAGGAATTATTCTAATACGATTATCATAACGATGATATTGTAACATATTATTACTATCATCGTTTGTAAATAGTTTTAATTTAATTTACTTTGCAACTTGTAATTTTTAATAAAATCACTTTGCTACAATTAATATTAAATATATTGCATTTTGGTTAATAATTCTATTATATTTCTTGCATTAGTAGTAATTAGTAATTAATTGTATATCTAATTAAGATTAATATAACGAAGAAACGATTTCTATAAAAAAAAAAAATGTATATCAGTGTGCAAAAATTATGATATTAAATACTATTCGTACACATAAATAATCAAAATTTATATTATTTACTATATACTTCATGTTATATTATTATATATATCAATTCAATTGATTTATATTACTTCTGACATATATCTATAATTTTCTTCATTTTTCATCAATTTTATTGTATATTATTATGGAATAATATTTAATAAATTATTATTATATAATGAATAATATTTCTACTTTTTATTTATTTCAATTATATAGTACAACTGAAACTGGAACTTTTAAATTTTATATTTTATATTATATTTAAAAAGATTTATATTATTTATTATAATTGTAATTAATTACTTTAGTTTTAGAGAAAGGTTAATGTAATGGTAATATTTTGAATATTCGGCAACAAATTCCAATATTAACTACAATATAAATTAGTATTAAACAGAAAATAGGACATAAAGTACCATAATGTAAAGTGTCAAATAAAAAATACACCATATTTATATAAATTATAAAATAATTATCATAGTAATAAGATATAATGTTTCTATGTGGTTTTAATTAAATAATAGATTTATTAATATTAAATAAAACATTAATTATGAATATTAATCAATAATAAAATATTAACCCTTTCACAAGTAAGCGTTTCGCCAGGCTTAAGCCTATTTTTCATTTAACTCACTAGCGCTACCACGGCTCACATCTGCACTAAATACTTACCATGCAAGTAACAAAATACATTCCCTACCTAAAACTTCTAATTCCCAGTTCATTAATTTACTTCTCATATAAAATACTTCATAGAACATTTGTAATAATTCAAAAATAGTACATATATCGTAAAACGTAATTTTAAAATAGGAAAATTAAAAAATTCCTTAAAACAACCATATCTAGAAATCATGAAATACCTCAAATGCCAAGATTTTCCTCGTTTTTACACCTAACTTAACACCAAATAGAAAATACAACTATCTCAAACCTACTATATTTTTCAAATATTTACCTACAAATATGCAAAATGGAAATTATCCAAATTACCATTATCATTGCAATCATACATGCATATAATAATCATGTTACAAATTTCCAACAGAGCGATTTCAACGACAGCTCGACGTCTAAATCAATCTAAACCATCGGCAGATCCTATCGAGTAAAGCAACTGGCAGATCATTACAGAAGCTAGAGAACTCGAGCCGAAGTTCCCCGCTGGTTCTCGTGCCAGTTTCCGTCTGGCGTTAGCACAATCGGCCAGTATTTTATGCGATTCGCGAGTTCGTAAGGATCACCGTGTCCGTCTCGACTCTCCATTCGACCGGAATATGGGATTTGGTGTCACAACGCAGCAAGGAAGTAGTCCGCGGCTTCGTGAATTAGTAATCAGGATGTGCGTCTGCGACTGACGAACACATTTTCGTGTGTACAGGTGGCTATCGATGAGGGACAGAGATGGACGGAGCAGAGGGTGGGAAGGAGTAGGAAAGAAATAGTCGAGAGAGCGAAGAGGGGCGACAGGAGAGAGGAACGAAGGGAAAAGGAGAACGGAAAGGAAGGAAAAGGAGAGGAGCAAAGGGGGAGGGATCGGTGTGGGAAAGACGATGACGAGATGAAAAATTGAAAGAGAAAGTAAAAAGGAGAAACAGAGAGAGGGTCGAAGAGAGGAGGGTGTGTTTCACCTGATAGAAGAAACATATGTGAAAGGATAGAGAAAATTTACGAGGAAAAAGGAACCGGAGAAGTCATGTACGTGAAAATTGCCTCTGAAAGCTAGCATCCTATAACTTCTCTGATATTATGATTAAATTGTGTTGGTAATTCATTGGATCCGACATGCTGTTCATTTATATTAAATATTATATATAATAAGTGTATATATACATGAAATGTAAACGAATGATTGCAGATAATTGGTGGATATAGGTGCAGCAATGCAGGAAGAGGTAGGGAATAATAATATAGGAAGTGAGTTTTAGGATTTGTATAGGAAGAACATATATACATTGGCAGATGAAGAAAGAAGTGTGACGAAGAAAGTTAAAACTCGAGGAGGTGTACGAGCAGAGGAAAAAATGGGGGAGTCGGTAAAAGCCAATATGCGTGAATCGTTCCACGATATAAGGTTCACACTGGCATTCTTCTCTGTGTCATTCGCCCCGAGATTGTCATTCATTATTCATCGAATGAGCGAGAACGTACTGCCCCCGAATTGCTTTGCTGAAAACTCGAGTTCGTAGTCTGCACGCGATTTCGAACATAGGAATATACGCGTGAATCTGTTATCAGAATTTTTACTTTGATTGTAAAACATAAATACAAATATATATAATATATATAAATAAATAAATAAATAAATAAATAAATAAGTAAATATATAATATGTATATGTATATGAATATATATTTCGTATTATGTATGATATAATTCTCACCAATTACCTATATATAGTAAAAGTAAATTTTTTTCCTCACCTATATTTGTCTATATCTTTTCAAAAATATTGTTCATCAAATTATTATATTTTTTTGATTCTGCATTATCGAAAATTCGAATTTTTCGAAACTGAGGATGACAGAATAATTTTGCTTGGAAATTCATATTTAAGACGAATAATTTTACAAAGATAATCTAGTGAACATTACAAAAAGAAATATAGGTTAGATAGCATTATTAGTGACTATTATTCGTGTCAGTAATTTCATTTCTTTTAAGAACACGATGACGTTTTCAATCCAATCTGTGTTAAAATTGTCTTTTAGTAGAACACTGATCTTCATCATTACATTTCTAACTGTATCTTTGTCTCTTTCTTTATTTCGTTCCATGTTTGAACATATATGTCAAATTCAGATTTTGAATAGTTTCCTCAACTTTTGGCAGTTTTCCATCCAATTTGTAACAAATATTTTAGTGAAATATAAATGAAACAATCGTGATGTTATTATTAAATCAATATCTCGAAAATAATTTGGTAATTATTTATAAAAAGGAGGATCTCACCGATTTCGATGGTTTTTATATATGTTGCAGAAATCAACATTTTGAACAACTTTTTCCTATATATGTAATTACCCCTCGGCCTCGGTTTCGAAGATTTTCGCAAAAAGCTATTGTTACTACTACAATGAATATTGCCTATAACTACATGTTGTGGCAGCACGTGAATAAACGTTGAACACTGTTTATGATTTCTATAAACACATCATGGCAGCCGGCAATGGATATATATAACGAGTGTACTTAAAAACTCGATTTGAGTAGCCTACCGCCTCCTAGCGACCGGAATGAAGAACCCTAATCCTAACCTTACTTAAACCTAACTATTCTACCTAGTATATACTTGCCTTCATTTACATTGACTGCGAAAAAAAAAATGACCTTTATATTCATGTAAATAGATGAGCCCTGCTATTATGGAAATCCGGTTATGTTGTGGATCATAGGCTTACAAATCGAAATATGACGCATGCTAACGTACTTACTTATCCGTCATCTAATTCCTGAAATGACGAGGGAAAAGAATTCGACGAAGAGACAACGACGAACGTTTAAGAAATCAATATATCTTTAAAATCTTGAAAAGATGTGACAGATTTTTACGTTTTATTCAGTATAATTGATCCTATGGAACAGATTTCGGAAACAGCGATATAAAGAAACAAAAATTACTTCTAAAGTAATAAATATAAATATATAAAGTAATATAAGTCGACGGTAATTGTTATATTTATTATAATTACATTATTATAAACTATTATGTTATATGATTATAATTATTATAAATACCATGTTAAATATGTATAATTAATATAATAATATAATATTAACGTAAACCAAAGAATTTTTTAGGATAAAATCTTTTTAAAAGGTATATCTACCATTAATTCATAACCAACAAATTTTAAGACTATATTTTATAATAAAGTTTTAAACGTAATCTTTGAATAAAGGAGTTTCTTTTTATTGAATAATATATGAAAAGTTGTAATTTTTTATCTTTGACAATTTTAAAAATATTACGCCTTATCAGGTTTAACGACACACAGTAAGTGTATTACAAGAATCTATTCGTATTGTCGAAAGTTGATGTAAAATATTCTTAAAAAAACAATCATTCATATACCGTAATTTTTGAAGGTATTCAATAGTATCGTTTATTATTCCCCTATTAATTAAGCATTATCTATTATTTTATATTGTATCATATTTTTATTATTAATTTTAGTTAATAAATAAATTTGTATGTTTTGAACAATATTTTAGATGTGTCTATAAATAATTAAAGATATTTACAATACTTATTTTCTAGAATATATACTATATAAGGCGTAATAAGTCATAAAAATGATCTTGTACAAAAAGTATTATACATTTAAAAATATAGGATAGAAAATATTAAAAGTCAAAACTTTATATTCTAATATACAGAAGCAGTAAAATTTACAAGAAATTGTAAAATTATGAAATTATTTTTAATGTATAATTTACAAATGTAGTTTACAAATAATATAGATTATGTTTTTTCTAGTGTATTAATTAGATATTATCATTTATTCCGAAACCTGAATTTACTGTTTCTACAAATTGACAGTTGTATATACAGTACAGTTAGAGGGAACAATACGTCTTTTGAGAAAATTTGTTTTTAAATTAAATAAAACCGCGCTCAGTTCTTTCTCAACTTAACAGGTGTTTTTTAGTTTTTAATAGGTTAGTAGTTGTATTTTATTTATACTTGACGCGAGACAGACTTAACCTCTTTTGACAATTCTGTAGTTTTTAGTATTCTGATATAGCACGAATAATGGATTCATTTATTTCGTTTACGCATTGTAATGTTTGGTTTTAAAACTTTAATATCTAATGAATATTTTGCTTTTAATATTGCTAGAAAAAAAAATTACTGAGACAACATACTCAAAACAATGTTAAACTATTTGGCATTTTCATTTAACCTTTATAATGGTTATAATCACTTTTAAAATATATTAAACATTCCATTCTGCTAACAGTATTAATATAATATAAAAATAATGACAATTTTTGTACCGTATTTAGGTATCTACTTATTATTTGTTAAAAAACATTAATATTATATTTATATATAATAATTTTTTAAACATTTTAAAATGTTAATGAAAATTTTTATTTTGTAGTATTAAATACATTTGCTATTATTATGATCGGGCAATCATCTGCAACTTCTTCAACTAACAATAATAATACAGATATACATTTGTCTACTTCTTGTAATGATTTTGCACAAACTTTTTATAAAGTAAGTAAAAATTAATTAGAATCTATAAATTTCTTTAGCATACTTTACAATTATTTTTAATCGCTGGTTTATAGAGAGATATATATTATGATTTGTTTAAATAAAATATATAAATAAAATTTATTTTGAATAAATTATGACATAATCAAAAAAATTTGCCGTATTATCAATTATTGAATATCAATATAATTCTGTATTGTAGTTATCTGATTTATTTTAGGAATTATTTTCTACCAATGTGGGAAATATTATTAATTCACCTTTAAGTATACACATGATATTGTCTTATCTTTCACATGGTGCAGAATCTACTACTTTAGATGAATTGACTAAAACGCTTTGTCACTATGATAAGAGTTCAATAATAAAAGCTCTGGAGAATATTAAATTGTATATTGCAAATACAATATATATACAAGATGGATTTGAATTATTGACAGAATTTTTAACAATAGGAAAAGAGGTTTATCAATCTGAGATATCCAAAATTGATTTTAAAAATAATGTAGACACAGCTGAAAAAATTAATGCTTGGGTTAAAGAGAATACAAATAATAAAATATTTGATCTTGTATCATCAAGTAAATTATTTTCATATGTATAAAAAAAATATATATTTAAGTAATTACAATAATTATAAAAATAAAATAATAATATAATAAACAGTGTTTTTGATGTTTAGGTGATTTTAATGAAGATACAAAATTAGTATTAATAAATGCAATTTATTTTAATGCTAAATGGTTAAATACATTTAATACACTGAATACAAAAAATAAAGTGTTTCATGTTACAAAAGAACAAACAAAACTTGTACCAACAATGTTTAACAAGTCTCAATACAATTATGGTAATATACCAACACTGCAAGCAAAATTTATTGAAATCCCATACATGGTATGTTTATATGTATAAATTCTTATATTAGAAACTAAAAAAATATTTTACAGAATACAGATATTGTGATGATAATAATATTACCAAATGAAATAGATGGCCTACAAAATGTGCAATCTAATTTTTCATGGGAAGCACTTGCGAATGCTTCGCGATTCTACAATGATATTGAATTATATCTTCCAAAATTTAAAATTGAATTTTCAATCGATTTGAAAAGTAGTTTATATAAGGTATAAATAATATATTTTATATATTACAAGGTTAAGAATGCTATATTTTATTTGTATTGTAAATTTTAGCTTGGTTTAAAGAGAATTTTTATGTCTGATGCAAATTTTAATAGTATTTCCAATGAACCATTGGTAGTAGATAAAGTTTTACATAAAGCAGTTATAGAAGTTAGTGAAGAAGGTACGGAAGCTGCAGCTGCGACAGGTAAATTTAATCTTTAAGAAAGTGAAACTATATTGCACATACTTTTTTAATACAATTAAATTTATTTTCTAGCTGTTTATATGAGACTAAAACGTGCACTAAATTTGGCAGAATCAGAGGAATTTTTAGTCGATAGACCATTTATGTTTATAATTCAATATAAACCGAAGAATATACCACTTTTCATCGGAAATGTACGAGATATACAGGTTGCGCCACGCAAGGATGAATTATAAATTTTTTTTTTAGATTATAAAGGAGTAATTTTTAAACTAAAGCACATATTTCTGTTTTTTTATATATATAAACATAACTTACTATATATTATATAATATATTTATTTTATATAAATACATTAATACAAAGTGTTATTATAAACTTACAAAATCATATAGAGAAAACAATTCACAAATAAATTATTACTTTTAAATAAGTTTTATACGTGATTCGTTTTAAACTTGTTAAAGTACTTTTTTTTTACCAAACGTTTTAACAGAATTGAATTTATGCATGTAAAAAGTCGCACAATACAAATGTAATTCACAAGTAAATAATTTTTCTTGAATAACAATTTATAACATTTTATTTAAAATGTTCCTTAATCCTATTGATTAATTCATCCTTTTTGCCAGATGTTTTTAAACACAATGTTTTTAAAATGGTTTTTAATTGTGACACAACAAAAGTTTCTAGCTGTGAAAGAAAATAAATTTATAATAAATTTTATTTAAATATGAATATATTTTCACTAATATATATTCATTAATATACCTGTCCTTTAATTACATATTCTTGAATCTTCTCCACATCTTCCAATGCTGTTGGTACTGTTACTTCATTAACTTTTTTAAGTTTTTTCTTTGGTACCTCATCACTTATATTGTCTGTTTCTACATTAAATATGTTATCATATTCATCTAATAAATCTTTTACAAGTTTATGCATTTCATCAGTTTTTGGAACTAAAATTTAATTTTGAACCATGTTATGAAAGTTTCATTATATTGTAATGCTTGCATTTTTATAACAAAACTTACGTGTGCCATCAGGTGGAGGCTCTTGCTGTTCCAAATCTAAAGCTAAGGTTTCTACAGTTTGAAGTTGAACTTTTAGTTTTGGATTCGGAAATAATTTCGGATTATATTCGATACTTAATTTTTTAATTATATTTTCCAGCAATTCAATTCCGTTTGGATCAATTGGAGGTTTTGTGTCATTATTGTCGTATATATAGTCTGGGAAATATTCACTAATGTTTCGTACGTTTTCTAAAATAATTGAATTATATGTTAAATCAATTTTTTTTTTTTATAAAATTTGTATTTTTGGAACCATATTACAGCATTTGAGATATAAGAAAACATATATTAATTTACGGCAAATATTTTATATATGGTATTATATAAATATAAAAGATATAGATATAGAAGTATTATATAATTCTTGACAGTAAAATATTCTTGAATTTTACGTTTTTAATTATCTTGGTTTCATTAAAAGTTCTAAATAAATTTAAAATTAGTTAATTTATCTTATTTACATAATTTTAACATTCATTTTTACTTAATAATAAGGTAATATTTAAAAAACAAACCTCTAAATGGTATTTTATATAAATAAAATCCGCCTTTTTCTGCATTTGGTAACATACTATATAGATTTGTAGCAGAATGTTTCCTTATTGTTAGTGCACATATTATCATTAAACTTTTGGAATCACATTTGTTGAGTAATGCACCAAATAATAATTTGTTATCTAAAGTGAAAAATAATTAAAAACAGTAAAGAAATTTTATTTTGTAAATATGTACAAATATTTAAACGTAAAATAAAAATTACCTTTACGATTACTTTTGTTTGGTGTAACAAAATATGGTGTCTCAAAATGATACAAAGGGTGATAAGAAATATGTTTTATACAAATTAAATCAATGCCTAGTTCTCGTGTTGTACACATGGATCTCACTTCTGCTTGTGTAAAATATATGTTTTCTTGGCCAAATGTTTGATATGTTTGAATATCCATGTCTAGAACTGGTGATGCTGCTCGTTGACTTTCTTCATCTTCTACTTCTTTCTATGATATATGAGGAAAGATATTTATTATATTATGGTTATTAAAACATATATACCACAAATTATAAAAATACATACTTTAAAATCATCTTCATGCACTTTAAGATATGTATGCGAAGTTAAAGGAGTATTGGTTTCTTTGCTTATATTTTCCTTTTTTAAATATTGAGTTTTACTAAAAAAAAAACAGAATAATTCTTTAAATTTATACCATCTTCATTAAAATCTGAATTAAATAAAAAAGTAATTCAAGAAATGAAATTAGTATTATCTAACAGGTAAAAGTAAAATCGTATTTCTTACACAGAGAGATTACGAAGAGATACATCTATAATCACATTTTCTCCTAATCTCCATGGTAGTTTTGCCATATTTCTAGATGGCAACTTTACTTGCTCGACTAAATCATTTAAAGATGTTCTTTTATAATCATCAGCATCAATTTTTCCTGATAACATTTCTAAATCTTTATAGAATAGAGCATGATTCCAATTTTCACTCAAACCAATAACAAATAATTGAAGTCCTATATCACTGTAACTCGTTGCTGCTACTCTTATTCTGTGTTTTTCATTATCATCTGTCATCGGAGGAACATCCTGACATGTAAAAAGAATTACTCTTCTCTGTGGCATAGTGATACTTATAGCAGAGAATGCTCGTGATGCGTGCCACAAAACATCATGTAATGGATAAGCCGTAGAAGAAGCAATACTCTTGTAGTATTCCCAATCTTTCCCTTCATCTATGTATAAGATACAACAAAAGATATAAAAATGATTAAGAAAATTTGAAAAAGAGTAGAATAAAAACTATATTCCCATATATGATTTATTAATTTTTGTATAAAATTCTGACTTTTTCCTATCTAATATACCTAAAGATAGCTTTCCTCTGCATTTAATATATAATTCTTATCTCTGTAACAAAAATTGCTTTGAAATTACTTTACTTCTCTATCTTATATTTTGTATACTATTTTATATAAAGGTATTACCTATTTTCATCACTTTTTTTAAATTATCCACAGAAACGAGATTTAATTTCTGAAGTGTCAATATATGTTTTCTTTCTATTTTCTTCTCAGGATCTATATCCCATTTCTCAGTTCCAAACAAGATTAAACCCATCCAATCTTGCCTGTTCCACACCAATTTTTGTTTAAGAATTTCTTTGTATTGCTAAGTTGCGAAAGAAATAATAAAATAATGTTGAAATTTTTATTTTTACTACTTAATACTAATAATAATGTAAATGAAAATATTATTGAATTATACAATATTCTTCAAAAATATATTTATTACATCAGTCTAACAATAATTTAAAAAAAACTAAGCTACTATACCCTTATGCATTGTATAAAATATGGGGTCTCTGTATGTGGATCATTTTTAAACATTAAAGGTGTTGCATCAATTATAAAGAGTGTTCCATCTCTAATACCATAAAGTTCTTTTGGATCATCTTCATAGTTTTCTTCATTTTCTGAATCTTCATTATTATAAGATGCCATTGTATCTTTCCTTTCTCTGTTAGTATAAAAATCTTCCCAATAGCTCCTAAAATTGATATCATGCAAACAAACTGCATTCAAAATTTTTAAGGAACAGAAAATATTTTCGCAATAAAATTAATATCTAACGTTAAAATTTATAAATCACAGTAAAAATAAAATTTATTATTTATTTTAGTTATTATATTACTATATATTTTAAATATTTTAAAATGTAATAATTACAAATTATATATAATATTTTACTGCAATAAAATAATTAACTTCTTTCACAATATATTCATAGGTTTATGTTTCAATTAATGATATTGCAATTAAATATATTTTAGAAGTTTCTTTGCATATGTACATTACCCGTGTTTCTTACTTTTTATAAAAAGAAATAATGTTGCTCCAACTTTGTATGTCGTTATATTTTTCGCAGTTCCTTTAATTATGAAGGTAGCATATGACTTATTATTAGAATATGTTTTTTCCAGATAGTAAAGTGGTTAATTTGTTCATTGTTATCGCATAATTTTTAATTAAAGTCGCTGGATAAACAAGATATAGAATATGACTCAATTTTCACCCGACTCTCAGCAGCTCATGAAACCGTTACCACATTAATGTTGTTTCCGACGTTACCGATTCAGCATAAGAAAAGATTACAATGCTAATAGTGATTAAAATTGAAATTAGATATAATAGACCCTCAATTATCGGAACCAAAATATGACATAGTCGTGGGAATAATCGAATAACTTTGTTATACTAAGAAAAGTCGTTTATTATTCATAATAAGATATCAATTTCCTTCAATATTCATTTTAGTCTTCCAATCTCCTTTAGCTGTTAGTTCAATGATCAATTTTTGGTATAAGTAAAATTGGTAGTTCATTAGATTTTTATTAGTTTTATAACCTGATGATGTCACTTAATAGAATGAAATCAATATTAATAACCCAATAAACATCGTATAAATAATGAATGGTGATGAAATAAAATGAGAGTAAGAGAAAAAAAAGAAATAAGCATAATTGAAATCAAAATATCACTTTTAGAACGAGACTATCCCTAATTATCGTTAAACAATAGTGTTCGGATAATTGAATATCCCAGTAATTAAATTTTCAATTAATTGACTTTCTGATAATCGATCGTTCCGTTAATAAAGATTTTATTATCTTACGACCACTTAAATAACTATTTACCATTTGGATCGAAAACAAAAAGAATGTGCATGAAAATATATGAAATATGAATACGATGAATCGGTGATTCTCACATTGACACCGGATGTACAACCAACCCGATGACAATCCCCGAATTTGAATTTTGATGATGGCAGACATTGATTCGAGAGGGTGTCAAAAACGAATCGTGAGAATGATTTACAAGAGCAAAATGTTATCGTATTACTACTATCCCACACGCCGATTCACAAACGGGTGTGTCGCGCATTAGCTAGACAATAATAAGCAAATCGGAATCGATAATCGGTAGAACAATTATGTTTTGTTTAATAAATAAGAGAGAGAAAGGATAGAGAATTTATATATTTCGCTCCAAGTTAGATAGCGTACCTTAATACAGAAAGCACGCAATAAATTTGCTTAAAATGTAAGAATGATCTTTTCTTCAATATTTATGTACCAGCAAAATACTTCGAATATTGAATATACTATCGAATAATTTCAAATCAATTATTCAAATTGTTATTCTAAAAATAACGGTTTTAATTTATAAAATAACAAGTAATTTTTAATCATTCTGTTTAAAGGGAGACTTAAATATTAAATGTTGAGTAGCTATTGTGTAACGCAGAATTATTTTTATTAGAAAGAATTTGAATATAATTATCATACACTTATTTTATATGACTTTTGTGCACGATCGGTATTTCAGTTCAACTCGAAATTTCATAAGATGATATATCTATTATATATTTTGTCTATGGTTCTGTTCTATTAACGTATGATCGTGACAGTTCTAAGAGTCGGAGTAAAAGAGGTTTGACAGGATAGTAAGGAATGGAGTTTATTACTCTGCAATACATAAATTTAAATAAGTAAATTAATTTAAAGTAAACGAAAAGTTTGTAAAATGTCCGGTGAAACTGATATTTTCGACGATACTGAAGCGCAATTGCCACAAGACCTTGGAGATGATGTTGTTCAAGAAGTTTTGAAAACTGGGACAGATTTACGTCAATATTCCAGGCAGATTGAAAAAGAACTAAAGGAAGTTGAAAATAAATCTATTCAGGATTATATAAAAGAAAGTGAAAATATTGCGAGTCTCCATAATCAAATTGCTGCATGTGATAATATCTTAGAGGTTAGATTTTAATAGTTTAACTTTATAATGTATGAATTTTTATAATTTATAATTTATAAATTTTTTTTTTTAATTTTGAAAAGTAAAATATATTAAACATATTTGAATATGTAATTTAAAATGCATTTCAGAAATGTATTATTCTATCAAATTTGATTATAATTTATCAAATTTTGCATCTTGAAGAAACAGCATGGATATACCTTTTTTACAGAAAATGGAATCCATGTTGATGAGTTTTCAATTAGACTTAGGAAGTATTAGCTCAGAAATACTTTATTTGCAACGTAAATCTGTGGCAATGAGTCAACAATTGTCTAATAGACAAATAATCAGAGGACCACTTAGTCAATTTATTGAAGATATGACAGTGTCAGAAGCTCTTATTGCGTAAGTATTTCTACAAAAATAATTTCTTGTTCATAAATATATAATTAAAATATATAATAATTTGTAATATATACAGGGGTATTATGGATTGCCCAGTAACTGAAAAAGAATTTTTAACGCAACTACAAACATTGAACCATAAAATAAATTTTGTAAAAGAGCAGAGTTTTAAGGAAGCAAAGTCATGCTTAGATGTGAAAGATATATTAGAAAAACTAAAAGTGAAAGCATTAGCAAAGATCCGTACATATCTTTTGGAGCAGATTTATAAATTTAGGAAACCAATGACAAATTATCAAGTGCCACAGAATAATATGTTGAAATATAAATTTTTTTTTGAGTTTATTTTAGCAAATGAAAGAAATGTGACACAAGAAATTTGTGCAGAATATATTAGCACAATGAGTAAAATATATTATTCATATTTTAAGTCATATTCTTCAAGACTAATGAAGTTGCAGGTAAAATAATAATAAAAACAGAAAAGTAAGATGCCAAAAGAATAATTTTTATTTTATATTTTACATTGTATAGTTTGAGGAAGGAGCTACTAAAGATGATTTGATGGGGGTTGAAGACACTGCAGGGAGAGGTATTTTTCATAAGACTACATTAAAACATAGAGGCACAGTATTTTCTATAGGTAGCAGAGGAGATGTATTAAATTCTCAATTAGAAGCACCCATTATAATACCTCATACTGCATCTAAAACAAGGGTGAATATGAAAACTATCATTTTTTAAATTATTTTTATCTAACAATTACCTTGTGATATGAAAATTTAAGTACATGTATTATTTACAAAATATTGATATAATTGTTTAATTGTTTTATATTTTCAGTATCATTATGAAGCTTTGTTTAGAAGTGAACAATATGCTCTTGTAGATAATGCTTGTAGAGAATATTTATTTTTAACTGAATTTTTTAAAATGCGTGGTGCGCAAGCAATGGATATTTTTAATGAGGTAAAATGAAATAATTTCTTTTTTGTGTTGTCTTAATGAAAAAAATAAAAATTGAATATAAAATTATATTCTTAATGATTAGGTAATGGGAAAAACATTAAATCTAATGGTGAAAAATTTACAATCTTTTGTGGAAGATTGTTACGATACCATTGCTTTATTCTTGTGTTTACATTTAGTAATGCGATATCGATTAACTTGTCATAAAAGAGCAGTACCGGCTTTAGATAGATATTGGGACAACATGACATCGGTAATTTGGCCTAGGTATTTAAGTTAATATATCAATATAATCTTTTTCATTTTAAATAAGTTTAAATGTATAAATTTCTTATTTAAATTTTTAGATTTGAATATGTTTTTCAATTGAATATTCAAAGTATAAAACATTGTGATCCATTTAAGCTCACTCAAGAAACAGGACCACATTATGTAAGTTTACAACATTGAAGTCAAATTAATTGATATTTTTGGATATAGGAATAATTTAAAATTTATTATAGATTACACGAAGATATGCTGAATTTAGTGCTGCAATGGTTAGTGTAGTTGAAGGATTTCCTTGTGAAGGAGCCACACAATTATTAGCAGAATTAAGAGAAGCTGTACAATGTTTCCTGTTAAGTTTGCGTAAGTATTTCTACAAAAATAATTTCTTGTTCATAAATATATAATTAAAATATATAATAATTTGTAATATATACAGGGGTATTATGGATTGCCCAGTAACTGAAAAAGAATTTTTAACGCAACTACAAACATTGAACCATAAAATAAATTTTGTAAAAGAGCAGAGTTTTAAGGAAGCAAAGTCATGCTTAGATGTGAAAGATATATTAGAAAAACTAAAAGTGAAAGCATTAGCAAAGATCCGTACATATCTTTTGGAGCAGATTTATAAATTTAGGAAACCAATGACAAATTATCAAGTGCCACAGAATAATATGTTGAAATATAAATTTTTTTTTGAGTTTATTTTAGCAAATGAAAGAAATGTGACACAAGAAATTTGTGCAGAATATATTAGCACAATGAGTAAAATATATTATTCATATTTTAAGTCATATTCTTCAAGACTAATGAAGTTGCAGGTAAAATAATAATAAAAACAGAAAAGTAAGATGCCAAAAGAATAATTTTTATTTTATATTTTACATTGTATAGTTTGAGGAAGGAGCTACTAAAGATGATTTGATGGGGGTTGAAGACACTGCAGGGAGAGGTATTTTTCATAAGACTACATTAAAACATAGAGGCACAGTATTTTCTATAGGTAGCAGAGGAGATGTATTAAATTCTCAATTAGAAGCACCCATTATAATACCTCATACTGCATCTAAAACAAGGGTGAATATGAAAACTATCATTTTTTAAATTATTTTTATCTAACAATTACCTTGTGATATGAAAATTTAAGTACATGTATTATTTACAAAATATTGATATAATTGTTTAATTGTTTTATATTTTCAGTATCATTATGAAGCTTTGTTTAGAAGTGAACAATATGCTCTTGTAGATAATGCTTGTAGAGAATATTTATTTTTAACTGAATTTTTTAAAATGCGTGGTGCGCAAGCAATGGATATTTTTAATGAGGTAAAATGAAATAATTTCTTTTTTGTGTTGTCTTAATGAAAAAAATAAAAATTGAATATAAAATTATATTCTTAATGATTAGGTAATGGGAAAAACATTAAATCTAATGGTGAAAAATTTACAATCTTTTGTGGAAGATTGTTACGATACCATTGCTTTATTCTTGTGTTTACATTTAGTAATGCGATATCGATTAACTTGTCATAAAAGAGCAGTACCGGCTTTAGATAGATATTGGGACAACATGACATCGGTAATTTGGCCTAGGTATTTAAGTTAATATATCAATATAATCTTTTTCATTTTAAATAAGTTTAAATGTATAAATTTCTTATTTAAATTTTTAGATTTGAATATGTTTTTCAATTGAATATTCAAAGTATAAAACATTGTGATCCATTTAAGCTCACTCAAGAAACAGGACCACATTATGTAAGTTTACAACATTGAAGTCAAATTAATTGATATTTTTGGATATAGGAATAATTTAAAATTTATTATAGATTACACGAAGATATGCTGAATTTAGTGCTGCAATGGTTAGTGTAGTTGAAGGATTTCCTTGTGAAGGAGCCACACAATTATTAGCAGAATTAAGAGAAGCTGTACAATGTTTCCTGTTAAGAATGGCAGCTACATTTAGTAGTAGAATTCAACAACTGGTTTTCCTTATCAATAATTATGATTTGGTTCTTGGTGTATTAATGGTAATGAAATTAAATTCAATACTTGTGAAATTTTTCTTTTTCATTTAAAAATTAAATTTAATTCTAATTAATATTTTCTTCATAGAAAACTATTTTTTTTTTTTATTTCTATAAGAAATTAAAAAAGAATTATCTTCAAAATATTATTTAAAATAATTATTATAAAAAAGTCAGTATTCAAATATTTTGAATATATAATTACCAGAGGAATATTTTATATAATTATTTTTTTTTTTCCTTTTTAGGAAAGAACACGAGATAATTCAAAAGAAGCGGAAAGTTTTCGCGACCAATTAAATGCACGTTCTTCAGAATATGTTGAGGAAATTTTAAGTCCACATTTTGGAGGTATAATACAGTTTGTTAAAGAATCTGAAGCCATGATTGAGAAAGGTCAAGCTGATGAGTCGAAAAGACAAGAGGGAAAAGCATTAGTCCTTGTACAATCTTTTACAAATAATTGGAAACGAGCATTAGAAGAAATTAATCATGAAGTATTAAAATCTTTTCCTAGCTTAGTACTTGGTACAGCACTAGTACAACGCGCAATGACACAGTTAGTGCAATATTATCATAGATTTCACAAAATTTTACCACCAAATGCTCGTACTCAATTAACAAACTTTCATCATATAATGGTAGAAATGAAAAAATATAAAGCGAATTATTAGGAAAAATGGAACAATTTGACTTTTGTTGAAATTAGATGGAATTGCGTGTAAGACTAAACCAGTTTGATTATTTAGTACTAATTTTTGTCAACTTAGAATTACTATAAATGAAAATGTTATATATATATATATATTTATGAATGAAACTAATTTTACATTTTATTTATATTATATTTACCAAAATTAAAAATAATTTTATTATAAATATAATTGTATAGTTTTTATCTGTTCCTTTCATAGAAAATATTTTTTAATGTAAGGAAGATTATATTTTATTATACATTTTACACAAAATTTAAGTTTTTATTAAAAATTATATTTTTGATAGTAGTATTTAAAAGGATCATGTAATTTATATAAAATTGATTTTTATTTTATTCGAAAGAATAATTATGGAAATTATTGAAAAATGTCATTATTACATATTTAATTTTTTGTAATGTACATATGTAATACACTTGATAAATATAGTAGTTAAAGTAGTGTAATGTTTATAATGATTTCTGAATTAAAAATTTATGAAAATGCTTTTAAAGAAAAGAGTTTATTTTTGAACTTATAAAATATGTATGTAACATATTCACTATACTAATTTTGTGAAATAAAAATTGTTAGATATATATAGTATTGTAAATAATAAAATAAATCCTAATGATCATATAATTGAATTATTTATTACTATTTTTTAACCATAATAAGTTGCTAATCATCTAAAAACTTTAATTCCTGTTGGTACAGCAATAATTATTGTAGCAGAAGTAAAATAAAGTGGAAACATAAATCACATTACATTACTGAAAACGAAAATTATATTATTGTATTATATATAATTCTTTTTTATATTTTAAGTGTAAATAAAAACAAAATACTAAGTAATATTACTATAATTCCTCTCAATTTGTGAAAAAATATAATTGTAAATAAAATAAATGTAGATTTCAATTTAAATCTGAGATTAATATATTATTATTAAAATTTATTTATAAATTTACGATATTTATTACTTTTTGATTGAGAAAATACAATAAGTTACATTCATTTAATTCATTCTTTATATTTGTTAGTTATATTATATTTATAGTTATTTAAAATATTTGAGTTTCTTAAAATTCAATGTGAATCATGATTATAATTATTAAACAAAATTTTAATCAACCATTTCTCTTCGTATTAAAATAAAAAATGATAAAAAGAAGAATATTAAGTTTCGAAAGTTTTTGGAATTATTTGCCCGAATTTTTGTTTAGTTAGTTTGCAATTAGTGAAACGATGGAAACATTAGAAAATAATAATTACGAAAAACATACTGTACATTTATTTATAAAATAATACATACTACAATAATACTAATTATGGTATTGTATTACCATTCTATACAATTAGATATTTAATTTTTTGCACATAAGTGACTCATGCGTATAAGTCGTGCAGCAAGTAGCAACCTGAAGGATCAACACACATCTATATTACATAGATTAGACTTTCTATTAGTGTATGTTTTAAAGAGATTCCATTATATTCGTACAATTTTGCAATATCTATGGCAAATCGTGTCGATTTATCATTATTGTGATAGTCGAGATTTCATTTTTCTTGTTTCTCAGGCCAATTGTACGTTTGTTTTAATTGCACTTTTTAGAAAAGAAAAAATGACACGAATATTTTAAAAACTTCAAGGTAATTTTTAAATAATTTTGTTAAAGTTACAGTACTTTACATAAAAACTATTAGTTAGGAAATTAAAATATAAACAGTTAAAAGTCACGAAATAACTCAAAATTTTGCAATTTATACATATTTAAGATATAAATAATGTTTTTTTAGAAGAATGAATTTCTTTTTAAATCTACAGAAAAAATATATATAGCAAATAAATTCATAACTATCGACGGTATTAATTTTTAATTATTAAAAATTGAATGCCTTTAATTAATAATTAACGAGAATATTAACCATTTTAATACTATTTTTCATAGTTTTTTAATTCTTTGCGATTTACTGTAATAATCTCTAAGCGATAAAGATGTTATCTTTGTCAAATAGAATTTCATCTTCATTATTAATACTATTTATTTTTAAAAATAGAACATTTTTAGACTAGTATTTTTTGTAAGTTAGATTATTACTTATTAAATATTGCTATTGTATTTTTTTTAGCAAATTGCAAAGAAGTAATAAGTAAAAAGGTATAAATATCCTTCGTGTCTTGCGACTGAAATATGCATTTTTTTATAACATGCATAACTTTTCAAAGTGGACGATCTAACTGTGTATTGCGTAGTTATAGAACACCGTCAATTGCGTGTAAAACTCCATTTGTTGCTGGTATATTATGTGTTACAACATGTGCTTCGTTCACTCGTACTCGACCTGGAACAGCATAGAAAATAATTTAAATTTTTTTAAATTACAAAATATCTTTTCTGGAATGTAATTTCATAATGATAATAGTTATTAAACGGAAAACAACTAATCTGATAGCTATAACAATAACGTGTTTTTGTTTTTTCTAGATTGCCAAATAAATTTTGGTAAGAAAAACTTATTACTTATTTAACTTTAATTAGTTAAAAGTTTTTACAATACAATTTAACAACTCGAACATTTTTAAATATTGTTTTATATGCATTTAACATAGTGTTCCTTATTCTTATGTTTATAATATAATACTACTATTTGCTATTTAACTTATTGTGATTTGTCATATTTGTTATATTTATAAGTATTAAAATTTTTTAAATAAGAATTTCTATGATTTCTGCTTTATAATATTGAGTTTAAAAATAGTTTTGAATATTGTGAATATACGAAAGTTATTTATACATTACTTGTATTTAAAATTTGTCTCTATAAACGCATAAATACATAATATTTTATATGATTTAATATTTGAAAAAGTTTGTTACACAAGTGAAATTTTTGTTTTATTTCTGAAAATTTTGATTTTATACATGACATATTTTATTTAATAGTGTAAAAATAAGAAAACCATTTTAAATCATAAAGGGGGAGCAGTTAGTGTGAAAAAATAAATTACATTCATTCTATATCTACATTGTCCTAATGACACGTCATGACGCGTCACGGCGCGAAAGGGAGTGTTTAATTACAAAGTGGGGAAATCACTGCTTAACGAGCAAATAGGTTATTAGGACACCGATTTTTCAAGATTTGCGTGCTAGATGGTAATTTTTACGAAAAGGAAATTCCTCGAACTTTTCCAGCTTATAAAATTATCATTCAACGAGTATCTTTCTCTAAATTAACATAACCTTGTACCGGTCATCAATAATTCAGTCTTGTCATCAACACTTCAACAGGTAACATTTTGTTTAAAAAAATAGATATTTATTGGAAGAAAAATATACAATGTTTTTTAGTTTATAATTAGAAAATTATGAATTAATAACAGTAACAGCATATCTTTGTGTTTCAATGAAAATTTGATATATCCATAAGGAGAAATGTTGATTGTAATCTAAGTAATAGTTGCGCATACATGATAATTTAGAATAGAATAGAATATTCTTTTTTTTTATTTTTGTTCTAGAATATTCTTTTTTTTTTATATTTTTATATCAATACAACTTGTTACTCGATTTATCTTTTGCTTACCTCCATTTTTGTGAATATGAACAGGCGATTGAGGACGAAGAGTATCTTTTTGCAAATAGTACCTCATTCCCGCTGTGTACAAAGACGAAGGAATCACATGTCTCGAAATAATTGTTTTCGCAGCTTCTGGGCCGTCTTCTTCCGTCCAAACAGGTGCTCCTCCGTCTTTCGAGGTGGATTCGAAAGCGGAGTCCATTGGAGCGAAAATGGTGAAAGTTTTAGGTCCTGCAAAGGTTATTTCCGCATTAATAACAATTAATAATTTGAATTTCAAACAACTTCTTAACCTGATCATTTTTATCACTAAAAAATATAACGCATTTATACATTATTATGCAATAATTTGTATGAATTATTTTGTTACAGAATATAGTAAAACTTCGATAATTGTTAACAACTTATTGCAGAAGATAATACAAAAAAAGGTTACAGTTAATAAGAACTTTTAATTGTTATAATAATTTTTATAATGTTTTTATGAAAATAATTGTTTGAATATAATATGTATAAATACAGTTTTAAAGGTATTTTATAGATATGCTTACTTGATTATTCATTACTATTCAATCAGTTCAATCAGTAATCATTGTTCTAGAGCAATCATTGTCAAATTTTGTAGAGTTCTATTTAGCAAAATTTTTTATCTGTTCTAGTTAACATTTTTTTTTAAATCATAGTATCTTCTTTTTCTTTCTCTAAATATTATTCGTATGTGTTAAAGATATATATGTTCGAATTTTTGAATTCTCTAATTTGAAACTTTTACGATTAAAAATATAAATAATTCTGTAAAGTAATGGTGAAAAATATACTTTTTATAATATTTTATTCCGAAATAATAATCTAAATAATAATCTAATAATCTAAATAAATAAGATAAAAGTAATTGATTTAAGATAAAAAATTTCATCTATTTTGAAACCTACAATTTTAATAAGTTTTAACTTTGAAATAAGATTTACTTGAATTACCCGATAAAGTTTCTTGAAGTCCAGAGATGTAAAGCATTTTTAGGAAAGTAGTGAACCTTCTTTCGCGATCAGCCTGCAATGTTTGCACTAAATCGCCAACCGGAAGTGGAAACATCACCCTGTCCACGGCGTGGGCAATGCCCTGAGGTATCTCAATATCACGTTTATTCGATGCTACTTTTGCACCATTTATTGTTGTCACCTGTTTGTAAAAACAAATAATAATGTAAAAATGTTAACGTCATTTTTCGTTTAGGACGAATGTCATTTAACTTGATTCATATAAATATAACAATTACAATAATATCAATATGATATTAATTAAAATGAAATAAAATTTAAATGAAATTAGATCTTTTTGTTGAGATTGTATTAATTAGTGTATTTTGTTTAACTATGAATCGGTTCATTACTCAGATATCTGAAAAATTGTACCATCACAGTATTTTCTTAATAAATAAAATAAATTTTATAGCACATTCAAGTAAATAATAACATTTAAATATAAGAAAATCGATTTACATACTTTTATCAGTGCTTACTAATTATTTAAAATGTCTAATGTCTTTTAAATCGAATATATAAAACGTAAGTAAAGATAAATTTTATTTCATATGAATTTATAATTATTTTTTCCTTTGTCTAAAATAAATTTCTTTTTCAGCTTAAAATCTATTGATAAATATTTATTTTTAAACATTGAATTAATTTTCAAAATACGTTTCGAAATCTGTTTATATAAAAAAGAAATTTATGTCATATATTTATTTCATAATTTATTACTTATGAAATAAATATATACACAATTACAATAAATAATAAATAAATCTCTTCATTCATACTAAATAGTTTCTATATTTTGGCTTAAGAAAGAATTCGTGTGATTTCATCTTTGAAGTACGCACTATGTCATACATTATTTACGAGTGAATGGAATGTTTCCATCGTTTTCTAGAAGGTCGACAAACTAGATCAACGTGAAACGATCGATCGATAAAAGTGATGAATATACAGTGCTGGTTATGACTCATTGATCCAAAAATGTTCGAGGTTAGATGGAAATAAATTCTTGTTAAGGTCAACGAGATTGTTAACATACAATTCGAAATTATGAGGTCTATATAATCTAAGGGACGTACTTTTATGTCATTCCATTCGTGGTCGTGCATTGCGTATTCATTCACTCTTAATTGCGTTCCAGCTAAGCTAACGCCAGTCATTTCATCTTGCAAGGAATCGATCCTGAAAGCTCCTGGTATCACGTGATGTAGCAGAAGCTGTAATTTAATTATACGAATTAATATAGTTTATCTACTCGATTATTGTAAAGTAGCTTGCAATTTTGATTAAAATACAAGAGATACTAATAATTAGTAAAATATTTATAGTAAAATATTTACTCTAATATAAATTATACATTAATTCAGTAAAAGTGGATTGATTTTTAATTTCATGCAAGAATAGAGATGTTTTTCTACTCTTTTAATCATCTTTAAATCATCATTACTTTAAGATGACTAATTTAACCAATTGACATTCTCAATAGATAACTCTTTTTGATTAATCAAGTTAATATCTACAGTGGGTAAAAGAAGTATTGGCACACTATATTGCAAGAGTTTAATTCAGTCGTTGATTTCACTTGCTTAAAGTGATACACTGTTAAATGAAACTCTGTGTATGTTTACCATAACAGATTATATATAAAACAATTATTTTTACGTAATATCACCCTAAACAATTGAATTTTCAATGATTTTTTCGCTTGTATCCAATATAATTTTGCAATAGTATAACAATAAAATTTTATTACACAAAAAACGTTTAATTTTTGATGCTCTATAATTCTAATGTGAAAAAAATTTTAACAGAAATTATATTCAGAGTATTAAAAAATATTGGAACTTTGGGATCTATTTGGCTCCCTTAAAAGGATTTCCTATCCATAAAAAAATAACTTCATGTGAAATTTATTATGTTCTTAATGTACGTACTTACATAAACGTTCATTGAAATCGAAACTTTCTGATTATATAAATTTTCTTGTAATATAGTGTGTCAATATCTTTTTTATGTACTGCATATGTCATAACCTAAATTTATCAAAATATTTAAATTAATAATAAATAATAAACAAAATAATAATATCTGAAATTAAGAGTACGTTTACCTGTATTTTTTTTCTAAGAATTATATTAATTTTTTATATACTATCTTATAAATTTTACTATCTTATAAATTAACAAATATTTTATTATCGATATCGTTGACATACCCCGCTAAGGAGTCGTGGATTATCTCGGAATTTTTGCTCTGCTTTTTCCGGACCACCAAGCTGCACCAATAACGTTCTAAAGGCTTTGTCTGTCGGGACGAATATTGTGTATGGACCTGTAATATTATAATCGAATTAATTCTTTCTGTCATAACGTTGAATTATGTTCGTACCACAGCTAGTGTTTTGGTAAATTTTCAAATTTCTAGATTCTAAAAATAATTTAAAGTTTAAAAAGAGATTTTTATAGGTTTATAAAAATTTGTAAACATTAAAAGAGATTTGGAAGGTTGAAGAAGTTTGGAACATTTAAAAGAAAATTTTTAGTTAACTATATTAATTACCTAGTTCATCTGTATCTGAGTATTTAGGGGAAAGTACTAAATTTTTTCAAATACTAAATTTATATTTTTCAGTGAAAAACTTGTAAGAAGGTTATATTTGATATTTGATTATGCGTTGATTCATGGCGTCAAATAATTAAATTCTAACACTTTTATTATAGCAACTAATCTACGTTTATTAACGTGGTTCCGTTATTTTTAATTTAAATATCAAACAAAATTTAAAACATGGTATTCATTGCCAGTTTCAAATTTTCAAAGAATATTTTATATTTACCGAGATACTAATGATATTGTGACAATTTCTTTTTTTATTTATTACAATAATTACATCCTTTTTGTTTTTCGAATCATTTATGAAAGTCAATCTTTTAATGCCGTAAATAGTTCGTAATGAAAAATTACATTTATATTGTTATAGACTTTTAATTGTCTATATAGCGTATGATATCAATTTCAATAAGAAATTGTGGTAAAGATGTATGAATTACGTCTGTATTTGTTCTGATAGTAAAGGATGCCAATATGAAAATGTACTGTTCACATAATAAAACGTTCGAATAGTAGTATATAATATACGTTTCAATATTAGAATTCGTCCGATATTGGAATTGGCAGTTCGACTGTTCTATGTAATGCATTTGACATGATTTTATAGATTCTTTTTGTAAGATGCTGTTCACGTATATGCATATATACATTTATGCGCGATATCGTGCGTTTATTCGCATCTTCGCGCAATCTCGCGCCACCTTGTGGCGTACGACGTAACGTGTTTGTTCTGGATCCGACGTAAGGTGTCACGAGAGGTAACGCATCTTTCTTAACTGCGAGGATAATTTTTATCCGGTCATTTCTCGTGTCACGTGAAAGGACACCGTTACGCTTCTTTGCTTTTTTAATCGACGGAAGTGCACGGTTTTCCCGTTTGGCTAACACGCCGATAATTGGATCTGGTTGTTGCACGATCTCTGACGCGTTTCTCCGCTGCCTATTTTCACAATCATTTTTAATTGCTTCAGAAGTGGCTGGGCATCGTCCGACTGTCTAGATTAACAGTTACGCAACGTATCCGTGTAATTCAACGTTCTCACCGTCAATGTTAACGGAATGGGAACACGTTTTCTTGTAATTAGAACATTAATTGTCGATCAAAGATCGTTAGGACAAATTGAAAGTGTTCGGTCTATAATTACTTGGTTTAAGTTTTTTGATCACTCTATTGAACTAAATTGACTTTTAATGAGCTTTTTAATTCCAAATTAGTTATAATTGTAATATCGTGGTGTCCAATGATCATTATAATTCGATATTACATATACGAATTCGATAAGCAAAACTAAAATCTAAGATACCTTTTTTGTGATTAAATCAAGTTCTGTACAATATCTTGTAATTTAAAAAAAAAAAAGATTTATTAATGTTCTGAGAAATATGTTTAAATTTTTTTTTTTTTAAGAAATTAATGAACTATACCTAGTTTAGTAATTATACATAGTATTAACTAAACTAGTAACTTTTTACTAATTTTGTCAGTATTAAAATTTTCATATATTTTATATTCTTTCTATTTTATTGTACTATACTATAAAAATTTATATTTTTTATATCTCACCTATCTTTTAGCTATAATAAAATTATTAAAATTTCATTATTTGAAACTATCAATCACCAGTATATTCGTATAACTTTCTTGCGAGTGTAAATTTAGAAAATGTACCGTAAAAGCTGTTAGAAGTATGAATAGCATTTGAAGAAGCTTATGTAAATGTTAGGTTAGAAGTTAGTACAGAAATCAATGCTGATTTCTAATATTCAAGATTAATGATCTATTGGTGGATAAGTTGAATGTGAAATAACTGGTGAATTATAATGTACTTGAATGTAATGTATTACGGTAATTACAATTATTAATTACTTCTAATGAATTTCGTATCACGAGGAAAATTAGATCCCACTTATGTTTATCACTTTTATATAATATTAAATAAATTTATTCGTAAAAATAAGATTTTTTGAATATAAATGATAAATCGTTAGATAAAAGCAAATTGAATCAAAGTATAAAATTTTACTCTTTCCTTGAAGTTATCTTTCATAGATTATCACACTTATAAATATTCAAACGGTTTCCTCAAGCAGGAAAACGTTATTACAGACGCTTTGGTAATTAAAGCATTCAAAGCATTCGTTAATTGGAAAACATTAGTAGTTCTAAAAATATAAATGAATAACATTATATTTTATTGATAGTATCATAATATATAGTGTAATAAAATATATTTAAATTTCGATTAGTCTTTCCAACGAATCTAATACTTAATAGAAATCTATCAAAAACATTATAGTTAATCATAATATTTTATAATTTTATTTTTTCATTTTTAGTAATTCTATAATAGTTTTAATAGTCTGTCAATGAAAGGAAATTATTAATTTAATTTTAGTCATATTTTGTTTTCTTTTGATAGACATTAGGTTAAGAGCTTAAATATTTTTATTTTTAGATGCTACAATTTTGTGAACGCATCGTAAATTTTAATAAATAAATAAATTTCGATAAGCTAGTGACATTTATGAAATATATATAAAATATATAATATGTTTATGAATAATATCTATAAAACATATGAAACCAAAATTATATAAAGTTTATTCTTTGATAAATAGTAATTATAATAAAAATTACTAATATAAAAGAATATATATTTAAAATAATCATTTTACGAATCCGAATTGATATATGTACGTATATAATAATTTTTATATATATATTTAACATTAATTCAAATATGATAAATTAAAATTATTACCATTAATTAAAGCTCAAATTCAAATGCGTAAATTAAAACCCGCGAAATTTTGAGATACATTTTGTTAAAATATTTGTTAATATACTTGTTAATAATATCTAACGTACATATTTAAAATGCGATAAGTAATGAACGTGAAATAACTTATTGTTAGTACCAAATTCAATGCAATATTGCACATTTGTATTATAAAGATAAAAACAAAATGGTCGTCTCTACGCCAATGAATAAAATGAATTAAACTTTCTGTCCATGGATTCTTCAGCATCGCATTGTTCTCATTCGTAATCGATTCTTCAATAGATCGAATTACATAATTATTACTGGACCTATCAAGGTACCGTAATAACGAGCACAGTAATTTATTTTTGAATTACAGACGGTAAGGATATATAAACATTTTTGATCGAATCAATAAGTTATATAGGTCAATTAACGTTGTAAGATGCAATTAAGCTAGCTTTTGTAATTTAAAGATTCGTATAACGAGAAAACGACCATCATTGTTCTTGTGACGAGACATCTGTGTCGAAACATTCAAGCAATCCGTGAGAACATTTTTCTAATGAATGTTGCATAGCTAAATTGGACGTCAAGAAGAAGCAAAATAGTTGTACAAAGAATAAAACTTTGTATTTATGGCAGTAACCTTACTAAGCTGATACACATAAAATATCATATTTGTATATATTAATAAATCAACAGAAATTTCTGGAGTTTAGTTATAGTTTGATTTTAATTTAACTTCAATTTACAGTAGCTCATGAAAGTATTCGAATAACTTGTGTCCTGATCATTCAATAAATAAAATACACACATTTGATTCTAATTTTCAAAATAATACTTTATCTGATGTAAGATAAAAGTGTTGAGAAAATGCAGGTAAAATTAGACAAAAATTTGATAAACATTGAAGAATTCATAAAACATTGAATGTGGACACACCTTTCACGAAATTGTCAAATTTCGATTGCTTGATTTTGTATTCATATATTATAAATATATTGTAATTTAATATTAGTTTACGTTAATACTTGATCAACTACTCTCTTGCAATAATTGTAATATGTTCCTTAGTTTCATGCATCTGCATTCAATATTCTATAAATTTTCTATTAATCGTTGTATTTTTGTATAACTTGCGCTATTGATTCCCAAGACTTATGTTTTCTTAGGTAGAGTATTATTTTCAAAGTTTGACTTTGACAACGTGTATTCGTTAAACATTTAGAACTTATGTTATCAAAATACTGCCGTAAGCAACTGCATATATATAATTTAACGAAAAAGTTAACGAATTTTCAACAGCACCTTTTTTGGTATCCGTTGTTTGAAAACCAGGTTTCTTTTTCATATATAAATACGTCTAGTTATTAAGTCAAAGAATAAAGTCTTGACGTCAATTGCTATCCATATAGTAATAGATACCAAAATCTTTGAAAATACTGCCTAAATCTTCAGAACTCTTTCCAGTCCTAAAACTGAGAACATGTTCATCTGAAATATTCGAATTCTCAAAAATAGCTGATGTTTCGTTCACTATCTTTAGCAGTAGGATTTTACTCTAATAAAACATTTATCTACTCACCAGTTTCGTTCAACACGTTATCCAGACCTGACTGTCTTAAATATTTAGCCATTGCAAATAATCCTTCCCTTCTGAGCAATGTGGTCAAACTCTCCTGTATTTGGCTCTTCGTGGAAGGCGATTCTAAAGATGGGGAAATTGTAGGTCGTTCGAAGGTGTCCTGGTAGATGATATTATCGTTATGTAAGGTAGTCGATGGCCTCGTGGTGGTCGAGATTGTACTGAGGGTCGGTGAAGTTTCACCGGGTGGTCTGACGGTGAAATGAATGTAAGAATTGGTCGAATGTTGTGAGAAAGTCGTCGGTACCGGCGCTGATGTTGTCGTAATGATTTCATTGACCGGAGCCATGGTTGGGATGAAATGACTTCTTGTTACGCTTGGATATTTTGCAGTCACGCGACTATCTTGATCCAAGGAACTCAATTTAGGGGTGGTGTTCACAGACCCTAGTGAATTGAATACGTGACTGGTGACGCTGGATGCTGAAGACACATACTTGTCTGTCGTTGACACGGAATTTGGAGAAATTGTCACATGAGGGAAGTATTCCGTTGGTCTGCAATAAAAATATGTTGCTTTCATTAATAGAGCGTACATCATAATTCATAAAGTTTGCATCAATAGAATTTTTATATAATTCCATTATGTAATATTTAAGTAAGAAAGTTAAGAATAGATTTTATGGACTGTTAAGCATGAACATTCTTAATGATTTTTATTATTATTAAGATTCTTGTATTCAATTCATGCTAAAATTTTCGGTTAAGCTATTTGATAGGTATGACTGTTGATATCAATATAATTTAGATATGAATACATTATCATAAGATATTTCACGATACTGCTGTATTTCTTGGATTCAAAAGACGCATTTTCTAAAATAATTAATCGTTTAAATGTAACATATTCTTATTCTTTATCATGTAAGTTGTTTTACACAATATGATGCATTACGTGTATTTGCCGGGAAACCTCACGGAAGACTTCCTTGATTAATTACTGCTTTCTGTTGATAAGAATCATTCATTTATATTTTTGTATTGATTCTAATCTATTATTGCAAATATTTTGAAAGCTACCTTATACAAAAGGAAAAGTTTTCAGAATGTTATCAAAGATCAAAGGAGGCATGGTAAGATGCAGGCAGGATGTTGTTAGTTGGAGATGTTAAGATCAGGCGAGAGTCATTTACATATTTTTAAATGGATTGATATATTTTCCAATGCCTCATAATGCAACTTCTCAGTCCTTATAAAAAAATATTCACCTATTTACCTAAAAGAAGAAAACAACAGTTTAGAAAATATTTAAATCTAAGTATTGTTAGTTAATTAATTCTTTTTTGAGGGCTTCATGAAGCTCTGTCACCTACCTTTCGGTATACCTTGATGAAATGGAAGTAGATCTCGGGGTAGTAGATCTAGGACTAGTAGATCCAAGACCCTGAGTCGACGTCGCTCCGCTCTGCCTTGTCGAGATTGAATTTGGGTCCAAACTGGATGCGTAATTCTGAAGCGAGGGCACAGTGGTCGGATTCGAAGAACTTGGTGGAAGCTTCAATTCTCCCTTCTTAATCTTCTCTACGATAGATTCCACTTCACTTCCCTCTTTATCCGCGTTTCCTTTCACGCCTTGCACCTTGTAACTGCCATCGGGTTGCTCCTCCAGCACTACAAAAGTCACTTTCTTTGCAGGCAGACTCTGAATCGGTGCTTTTCCAATTTCCTCCAACTTTCCATCGCTCTTCTGTCTAATGACTTCAAAGTCTGCTCCAGGAGGAAGCACACCTTTTGTCAATTCCTCGAGAATAGCCTTCGGTGGTTTAATAGTCGTAGTCGAAGTAGTTAAAGCCAAGGTAGACGTAGTCAGAGTTGATCCATCGGTGGGTACGATGGATGTTAAGCTGCTTGAAGAATCGACCAACTGAATCTTCTTTCCGTTAGGCAACACGATATCTCGTGCACTGACATTTCTGATATCGTCATCTACCGACTGAGCCAAAGCCAGTTTCAACTGCTTTAGTAGAATATCCCTTTCCGAGCCTAAAGAGGCAGATCTGGTCCTCGGAGTAGAATTTTTTGGTGTTACTGGCTTTTCTGTCTGATATATGACCTTGATCTGAGGCTTTGGCTTACCTTGTTGAACGAACTGATTCTGTTGCTCCTGAATCAAACTTAACAGGTTCTCTGGGATGTTCGAAACTGTTACTTTTTCTTGATATGTTCTGGGAGAAACAGACGTGATAACAGTTGGTCTACTGGTTGTCGTGGTTCTTACGGTTGTTGTGGATGGTATCGGCGTCGTGGTAGAATACTTTTTCTGATGAGTAGCTATCGCCTTTAAAAACAAATCTGTTTCCGATGGAGTGATTTTTCTCGCAGTTGGCAGTGATACGAGAACAGGAGATGTTGTGGTGCTTATAGCTACGGTGCTTGGGGAAGTGACAGAAATTGGTAGTGAAGTGGTCGACGTGAGTTTTTGCAACTGTTGAAGTCTCAGAAGTTCTTGTTGCCTTCGTAATTCCTGTTGTTCCAGTAGTAATTGCTGTCTCTGTTTTTGTACCAGTTCCAACTCGCGTTGCTTTTCCAGATATTCCTGCAACTGTAATGTTTGTCGGTCACTGAACAGCGGTTGCGATAGATCCTGCTGGAGATTCTGGAACTGGCTATTAGTATTCTGATACTGTTGTTCGAATTCTTGCTGCTTGGCAGGTTGAGCCTGGAATTGAGTTTGAGCGTTCAGATAATTTGGATTGCCGAGTTGTTGCGCTATCTTTTGTTGCTGTTCTTGTATTAGCTGTTGCACCTGTTGCTGTTGTTGCAGTAGTTGCTGAATTTGTTGCTGTTTCGTGCGATCCACTTTATATTTAGACAAGGGCGAATAAGATGTGCCTGTTTGTGGCTTGGAAGTGACTTGATCGAAGTTTGAGAAGGATCCTCGAGAACTGGACGAATCTTGGGGTCGTCGAAACCGTTGCTGGTGTTGCTGTACGTCGCTCAGTATTTGGGCCTGTTGGGAGGCCGATAGACGAGGTCGTGGATCATGTGGCGAACGACCCTAAACAAAATTACACTTTTGTTAAACTGTTTGTCTATATTAATATATATAAATATAGACACATATATATGTTAATATACATATTATATTTTAAGATTATATATTAAAGATTATTTAATATTTTATGTACATATTACGTAACATAATATATATATATATATATATATATATATTGAATATATGTATATAGTACTATAACTAATACACAGGGCGACTCAGAAACAGTAGTACAACTGGGATAGGGGTGATTCTACATGCAGAAACGAATCGAACAAAAAGAATAAAATTTTTTAATTCGAAGCTTCGCCTTCGAGAAAATCGACTTTGAATATCCATCGACTAGGGTAGTATACTGATGGTCCATCCACTTTAGCCAAAGTTAAGTGCACGCGTACTCGGTGAACATTCAAAGTCGATTTTCTCGAAAACGAAGCTTCGAATAAAAAAATTTTCATTTTCACTTCATTTTCGATTTGTCTTTTCACGTAGAATCACCTCTTTCCCGGTTGTATTACCAATACTGATGTATCGATGGTTTATTCATCTAAGCCATAGTTAAGTGCACGCATCATCCCCCCTCCCGGTTGTACTACCGTTTCTGGGACACCCTATATATTATATAACATAATACATATAATATATAATTAACATATATAATACATAATATATTGTAAGAATAAAACATATACAGATGATACAGATAATTAATTAAAAAAATATTCTAAATAATTGTTTAATATAATAATATAATGGAAATTTTTTATTTTGTTAAAGTTGGTAAAATTTATATAACTTGAGACTTTCAACAAAAATTATTTGATAAAGCTTCAAAATTAATGCTTTTTGAAGTTAAAGTTTTAAATTATTATTTTGAAAATTAACTCGGAATTCGTAAAAAACACTAATTTTTCGAATTTATATTTTATACGGAAGCTTAATGTTTAAATAACTATTTTAAACGAAGTCTAAGTTTATTTAATGTTTTAAACAATTTTCACTATCAAAATATATTTTATTATTTTCGAATTATTTTTTGCGGTATTAATCAATATTTCCATGTTTTCTAAAGTAATAATGAAATATAGAATATCCCGTTATTTTTACATTGTATAAAGTACTTTTCTGTACTTTTACAAATTTGAAAGAATTTTATTGCATAATTGTTACATAATTTTACGATGATTTGCAAACTAGTTGTTTCCTGAATGTTCGAAATATAAATAATTAGTTTCGAAAGTACAGTTAATATTGTTCGTACTTCAACAATTTTTCTTCGTGAAAAGATAACATTACAAACTGAGGATTTAGTCTTCTTGCGATAGAAAGTGTGTAGTTACTAAAGAGTGTTTTGTTTCGTACATAAATTACGTTCTGTATAATTTTCCAATGTTCATTATGTAATTCCGATTGTAATATATATGTATGTATATGTACACGTGATTTATGTGTATGCAAACGTGATTTATGGATATCTACACAGAAATTTACATTGTGCAATATAATGTAAGAACTTTAATTAAACAATTTCATTGAAATTTATATTTTAGTTGTAGTATCTTAATTATTGAATTTTTATCTTTGTAAAATATATATTTTTTAAAAATAAATTTAATAGTATTAACTTCCTTGAATTTGGATGTATTTTTATTTGAAGGTTCTGAAAATTTTATACGCAAGAATTAAAATAATTACAAAATTTATAACTGATATAAATTTACCTTTATGTTATATATTTAAATGATCATAATTGCAGATCATATTAAAGTTATCTACAAGCATCTTTACATTAAATTTAACAGTGGTACCAATTCTTTGTAAATAAAATTTTTTACTTTATGCTTCTTTATATGAAATACAATTATTTATTAATACTTTTATCTTTATATAAAAAGAGGAAATAAAAAGAGGAAAGAGTAAAAGGTAAGGAAAGAAGAAAAAGGACAAAGAGACTGAAGGAAGGGAAAAAGAAAACCAAAGAAAAACAAAAGAATAGAGAAAAGAAAGGAAATAGAAAGAAGAAAATTTTATCATAAACTTATCCATACAATATACGAACAGCGACAGTTGAATTTTGACTGGTTTATTTACGATGGACACCAAAGGTTACGAAAATTGTTCTAATCTCAAAATAAAGATTTAATATAAAAAATATTGTTCTTACATTTATACCACGAAACTGATTCTAACTCTAATTCGACACAGAAAAACACTTACCTATATTACATTTCAACAGCTAACCTCTCATCTTTTATTTACCATTAGTATTTCTCATATGCAAAAATATTCCAACATAAATCCTACTTTTTTCCAGTTAATACAGTTTTTCCAACACAACACAATCATCTCTCCCATTCAACAATGAAACAAAACTATTTATCATGTTATCACGTTTAACAGGTTCACGAACGAAAATAAGACGAATGTGCGAGGAAGTTCATAATTACAGAACAAATAATAATTCATCTCGGTCACACATTTAATCATCGATATTTACTGATTCGGTAATTATTTACAAGAGAATTCAGTATGTATTCGTAGCGATTAATTATCGGCTTTGTTCATAAAAGAAAGAAAGAGAGTCCGATGCAATTAAGATCGCGATAATTAACCGAGGCATTGTTCTAGACTCCCTTCTCCATGTCAAGTTGTACGAGGCTGTGAGACAATCTCCTCGATGTCTCGAGAAAGTATAACTCGTCGTGGTTTTCATTTCGCAGCGTCCTCGCGTAATAACTCGTTCGACGATCTCGAATTTAAATTGGAATCTCTTATACCATCTCACAATCGGTACGCAGCCACACTGTTTCAGGTTCTTTCCGTCATGTCGCTTCGTTACCTTTCTCTTTAAACCGTAACTCTATGCTTATAGCAGTCGCAGTCACGTATCGAAAAGAATACTTCGCGGGAAAGATACGCAGAAAAATATGTATTACATAGATAGTCAATTGTTATGTGAATATGGATATACCTATTATATGAATTGTACAATATTATTCTGATGGAAAAATGATAGGTTACCTCCGTTTTACCGAAAATCATTATAAATGTACATATATAAAATGTTGACACGTGTCATTATTTTATAACCTTTTTCCTGTTTTATTTTACTCGTATATTTATAAATTACAGGACAACAAGTATTGCTAAATATGATTCGAAATATTATTTTCATTAGAGTGTAATATAATATATAATTATACGATGAGAATATTAGAATGAAGTATAAAATATAAGGTATGTATCTGCAAGCGAATATGAACAATTTGAATACTGTTTTAGATGAAGCTGTTTCTGCCCTGTGTTGCAATTTCAACTCTCGCAATGTTCTTTCGTCGAAGATGTCGATCTTTATCATTCTGTTCAGTATGTATTTATGCAATGCTGAATACTTGTTTCCTGTTGTTAGATATGTTGTTCTAATAAAGAGTAATTTCTGATGCATATAAATGACACTATATAAGAATGTAATAAATTTCATAGAAATAATCATTATCATCATTATAAATCATTATAAATAATCATTATAAAAGTTTGTTTTCTCCAAAATTTGTTTTTCTGTTTACAATATTCGGAATTCATTAAGGCAAATACATTCTATATTAGGATTTTTAAAAAATGCAAACACAGATAGAAAAAAAAACAAAATTGATTTCATTTGTTACAGATATGATGCTCGACAATTAAACAATTTCTAAAGAAACGATCACGCAAAAATTAAATTATCCATAATTAAATGAGTAAATAAAGTAATAAAATAAATGTATAAATAAAGGAAATATATTTTTTTATATTAAAGTATTTCATATCATTCGCAGATAAATACAAGTAAAATACATTCAATTAATTATAGTACAATTAATACTTAGCAATTTAATATTCGACAATTAGATCTCCCTTTTTAGAAACGATGTTAAGTGCTATTAATATACTTGATTGACCATGACACTGACATTTTGAAGTTCGTTGCACTTGACTGGCATAAAATACATAGCAGTTACTAGTTGGGGCAGTTCTATAGCAATAATAGTAACGCAATCTCGTATCTTTTACCAATAATATCAGGGCGTGTTTTTATGGTTGTAAATCCAACAACAGGTTGTAAACAAATTTAGGCACCAGAATTACAAAATGATTAAAATATTCGGATCATATATTTTATTTATTTTAATCGAATAAAACTTTAAAAATATTTTTATTTTAAAATTACATCAATTTTTTTTCTAACCAACGTGTGTGTAATATATATATAAGTATTTACATTCGAACGAAATAAAGTGGTGTTTATATAATTTCACTCAATTTAATAGTGCATTAAGGGATTGCTAAATCCAAAATTACGTTTTCTACGTTATTATCTAAGAAGAAGATAATTATACATTTAAAGGAAATTTGAAATTGTAATACGATGAACAACATGGATGGAAATTACGTTGGTATCATTATCATAAATTACGAGTTAATGAACCTCTCGCCATTTATCAAGCACTGGATTGTTTTTATTTTATCTTGCTTTAAGAAAGAGCGTTAATCATTAGGTACGGGTTGTTGATTTCGAAAGCAAACATTTTCTGTTATTAAAATTGCTTTAGAATTTCAATCGAAGTAATAATGGAGTATCTTCAACATCGGTATCTTGATTTTGAAACTGAAGAAATGTCATAGAATTGTATATGATTTAATAATCGAATATTATACTATAATAATTATATTTTAATATATTTATTTAATGTATTTTATATATAAATTATTTAATTTAATTTATTTAATATATTTTAATATATTAATTATATTTTAATTATAATATATTTTTCATAAATCTTCAAGTTTGATGAAATATAATTTCAAAATCGTCATTTTCATATATATTATTTTATTTTGTATCTATATTCTCGACTTTATCTAATAATAAGATAATTTTTATAGAAAGTGTATAAAATTATATGGAAATTATTTCAATTAAATGTATGGTGTTTTATAGACGTTTAATGCAGCTTTAATTT